ACCTAGGTCTACAGCAACATCCATACCTACAACTACATCTACATCTACATATACACTTTCGTATTGGTTTTGTTGTTGTTTCGCAGTCTTGCTCTTTGGTCTGTTTGTCCTTTGTGTGTTTGCTTTTGGTGTTGCATTTTTGTTTTGTTTTTGCTTGGAACCCGCCCCGGGCGGATCCTGGGGGAACCGCCCGGGGCGGGTTCCACTGCCCGGCCCTTTCAGCATAATGAGTAAGAACCCTTTCTAGGCAGGGCCTAGATGAAGCTAAGCTAAGGTAAGATGAAATAAGCTAAGCTAAGATGAGATAAGCAACGCGAAGCTAGAGGAACGTCACTGGGGGAACCGCGGGGCGGATGCCGGGGGAACCGCCCGGGGCGAGCCCCACTGCCCGGCTCTTTACGCTTAGCTATGCTATGCTAAGCTGCGCTATGCGATGCTATGCTATGCTATGCTATGTTATGCTGCGCTATGTTATGCTATGCTTGGCTATGTTATGCTATGCTTTGTTCTGCTGATGCAGCGCTGCGCTATGCTAAGTTAAGCTAAGCTAAGCTAAGCTAAACTAGCCCTCTAAGCAGAGCCTAGGTAGGGAATTACACCCAGGCTACAATATCCGATGCTGCGCTATGCTATGCTACGCTATGCTATGCTATGCTGTGCTCTGCTATGCTAAATAAAGCTCTGCGAAGCTAAGATGAAGGTGAGCTGGCTAAGATAAACCTGAGCTCAGATGAACCTAAGCTAGGCTAAGATGCGATAAGCGAAGTTGAGATGAGATAAGCAACGCTAAGCTAAAGGGGCGTAACTGGGGGAACCGCGGGGCGGCTACTGGGGGAACCGCCCGGGGCGGGCCCCACTGCCCGGCCCTTTAAGCACACCGAGTAAGAACCCTTCTAGGCAGAGCCTAGGTAGGGAACAACAACAACAACAACAACAACAACAACAACAACAACAAAACACCACAAAACAACAAGAATCCTCGCCGTGAATCTCCACTTCAGCAACGTACCCAGGGACAGTGAATGACCGTTCGGCCCCCTCAATATGATTTCTTCTTCAAGCGAAAAGATGTTTTCCTTGTTTGTTTCTTCTCGCACTCATCGCAAAGCTTTGCTGGATCTTTGGCCTCGGGGTTCGGTTTCCAGATGCTCTTTTCTCCTCGCGCCGCGCTTCGCGCGCAACGGGTGCTGGCGCTCGAACAGACGCCACACCGCTCGTATCGGCCGCCGGATTATCGGCCCTGCCGTTTTTCGAAAGCACCCTCCCGCAAATCCTCCCCGCAGCAATCGCGTGTCTTCGTCTTGCACTTCGCGTCCTCCTCGCATGTCCCGCACTTCGCGCGCGCGTGGTCAGAGTTGTACTTCCCGAAAGCTCCCCGCGGCAAGTCATCGCCGCAAGCTGCGCACGTCTTCAAACGTTTCTCCTTCCCGCCCTCGCTAGCCCCCATCGCAGTTCTTGCACTTCGCATGAGACTTGCGAAAGGCGTACTTCTCGAAAGCGTCCAAGGGCAAGTCCTCCGAGCAGCCCGCGCACGTCATGCGGTAGTTCTGGCACGCTCGGCGCGCCTCGCCCACGCCGGGCAACTGCCGGCTGCCCAGGGGCCACCTGACGTGCGCATCCTCGAACTCGCTCGTCGGTAGCTTTCTCCTGCAACTCTTGCATCTTACGATGCGTCCAGTGTGGATCCGAACGCACCCGTCTGCCCGCGCGCACTCGGACGCCGTCAACGACATCGGAGCAGCCCCCCGTTGCGGCTCACACGCCCGATGTTTGAAGCGTTCTCTATGTCTGATGCTCGGGGGTCTCCAAGACAAGCCCCCACAATTCGATCGACCGGAAACTCTCCAGGGATATCATCGGGATACCACAGATGCGTAATCTCGGCCCCCTGATAGCGCCCCGATAAACTTGAAGCTCCGATGGTCCTCCGCGCAGCTTTTGAATGCGGCGCCAGCGGTGCACACAGCAAAGCGGCCCCTCTTCCGCGCCATCCTCGGCGGGAGACCACTGCCGCGATTGGGGAAGCTGGTGCGCGCGCGCAGGCTAGGGCCAAAACGGGACCAGACGATGAAGATGACAACAAAAGTCGCTTAGGCCTGATCGCGGGGTCACGCCCGCGAGCGTTCCCCGAACATTGTCTACGCGGCTTCGGGGAAAAAGCGGCGAATAATAACTCAACATCAAGTGGTACGCCTTTAAAAGCACGGCGCGATCAAATTGTTCGCAGCCGATCTGCTTGTACAGCCCGCCAGGGTCTCGGAAGGTTCCCGAAAATCCGTCTGTCAATGCCTTTCTTGCCCCCAGATGGCCTACGATGGCCTCCAAGACGGCCAAGATGGCCCAGGATGGCCTCCAAGATGCCTCAAAGACGGCCAAGATGGTCTCCGAGACAGCTAAAATGGTCCCAAGATGCACCCAAGACGGTCCCAGATGGCCTCAAGATGGCCTAAGACGACCCCAAAGGCCCAGAAGAGGCTTCCAAGACGGCCCAAGAACGCTCCAGGACGTCCTCCAGGAAGGCCCGCAAGGGGACGAATCATTGATTCCCCTTAGGTTTTTGAAGGGCGTTGGCATTTTCTTCTTTTCTGCTCTCCGACTGCCCAACACAGCCCAGGAGGCCCCCCAACATCGCCCCAAGAGCGCCCAAGAGGCGGGTCCCATGACAACCAAAGAGGCCCCCAGGAGGGCTCCAATAAGGCCCCAAGACGGCCTAAGAGGCCCCCAAGACGCACAAGATGCCTTCCAAGATGGCCAAGATTGCCTCCAATATGCCTCCAAGACGGCAAAGATAATCTCCAAGACGGCTAAGATGGCCCCAATATGTACACAAAACGACCCAAGATGGCCTCAAGGTGGCCTAAGACGGGCCAAAAGACCCGCACCAGACCTCCAAGACGGCCCAAGAGCGCTCCAAGACGTCCTCCAGGAAGGCCCGAAAGGGTCAAACTCAGTTGCTGTCCTTTGGTTTGTGACGGATTCTTGCACTTTCTTCTTTTCAGATCTCCGATGGCCCCAGACGGCCCAAGAGGCCCTCAACATCGCCCTAAGAGCGCCCAAGAGGCCTCCAAGATGGCCCCATGACAGCCCAAGAGGCGTCGAAGAGGGCCCCAAGAAGCCCGAAAGACGTCCTCCAGGAAGCCCGAAAGAGCAAACATCATTGATGTGTCATTGACCTTTGAAGGATTGTGACATCTTCTTCGTTTCAGCTCTCCGACGGCCCGAGACGACCCAAGAGGCCCCTCAACATCGTTCAAGAGCGCCCAAGAGGCCTCCAAGATGACCCCATGACAGCCCAAGAGGCCTCCAAGAGGACCCCAAGAAGGCCCCAAGACGGTCCAAGAGGCTTCCCAGACGCCCAAGATGGCCTCCAAGACGGCCAAGATGGCCTCCAAGATGGCTAAGATCGCTCCAAAATGCACCCAAGACGACCAAATGTAGTCTCAAGATGGTATACCACGGCCCGAAAGGCCCGCAAGAGGCCTCCAAGACGGCCCCAGAGCTTCAAGACGTCCCCCAGGAAGCCCGAAAGAGCAAACATCATTGATGTGTCATTGGCCTTTGAAGGATGTTGGCATTTTCTTCGTTTCAGATCTCCGACGGCCCAAGACGACCCAAGAGGCCCCCAAACATCGTTCAAGAGCGCCCAAAAGGCCTCCAGGATGGCCCCATGACAGTCCAAGAGGCATCCGAGAGGGCACCAAGAAGGCCCCAAGCCGGCCCAAGGGGCTTCCCAGACGCCCAAGATGGCCTCCAAGACGTCCAAGATGGCACCCAAGGTCGCCCCAGGACTGCTACGATGGCTCCAAGATGCACCCAAGACGGCCCAAGATGGCCTCAAGATGGCCTAAGACGGCCCAAAAAGCCAGCAAGAGGCCTCCAAGACGGTCCAAGGGGCCTCCAAGACGTCCTCCAGGAGGACCCGAAGACGCCAAACAATTGATTGCCCGAACGTGTTTGAAGGATTTGACGTGTGCTTCTTTCGGCCCTTCGACGGTCCAAGACGGCCCAAGAGACCCCTTAGGGTCGCCCAAGATCGCCCCAAAGGTTCCTAGATGACCCCATGACGGCTCACTCTCCTCCTCTTACCCGTCCTCCCCCACGTGTTCCCCGATGGCTTTCCAAACCGATTCGGGGAACACGTGGTCCGATAGCTCGGCAGGGCTCTGGCCTCAACGTTCGGCCACATAGGCGCTTCCGAAAGGGCAGGGGGCGGCGGGGACTCGCCGTAGGCGTCTTCGATAACGCCAACGTTTCAATATGCGCTGATGACTCATATCCGCCCCCGCATGCTGTTCCCAGATGCGCCAAGGCAGCGCCGAGACGCACCGACGCCACTCTGTTATATCAAATTCCTCTCCGTCGAAGCCCTTACGGGTAAGGAAATTAACATGCTTTGTTTCCATTGGTTTTCAGTTTCAGATCGCCTCGGGGAACCTTCAGAGATCACACAAAGCTCCACAAGGCGACGGCCCCAGAACCCGCCCAGACGTCCCCAAGACGGTTCAACCGAGCTATAATGGGAGAACTTGGTAGAATCATCGCGCCCAAAACGTTCCCGAAACCCCAGATGGGCCATCAACGGGTCCCGAAAAGGCCCCAAAGAGAGCCCCAAGAGTCGAGCAAGGGGGCCCAAGTCATCCCTCTAGACGCCTCAGAGAGGATGGAGTAAAGGGGGCGGGGACGGAGTGCAAACGAAGAAAGAGGATGAGAACGAGGCTGCGGACAAGAAGAACGTGTCTACGGCCAGCGCCAGTGCGGGTAGGCCACTGACCTGGAGCGGGTCTTACGCTCAACGCATCCTGCCCGCTGCGCTGCTGCGCTGGCACGATGACGGCGTTTGCCAAAGGCAGCTGGATAACCTAAACAATTGGTCGATTCCTGTCTCAGCTGGCTGGTCGCCTGCATAATTGAACAAATGATGCATCTAGGCACTGGGAGTCCCCCTCTTTGCCAGCCGTGTTGGCTCCATCCAAGTATGCCCCGATCCCAGTTGCCCCATCCTGCCAGAAGTCCTCGAGCTTCATCAGGACGCTGTGAAGGACACCGTGGCCAACTTCGTCAAGACTCGACTGCCTTTCCCGTGCCGTGCGCCAGCAAACGCAGAGGGCACCTACGTACACACCACCACCGTGCCTGGCCAGAGCCATCATGGGCCCTTGTATGGTGTTAATACGCCTTCCTGGCCGAGGCCAGGAGAGTCTATGCACCATCCTAGGGCCCAGGCCCGCCGTTGCCAGGCGCGAAGGTGTCGTACGTATCATGCCGTCTGCGGACGGCACGCACATGCAAGAGCAACACTCCCACAGTCTGGCTCTCCATGTGAAGACGCTCATCGCGCAAGCTGCCACGTCGAAGAAACCTGCGCGCACCCGCACGCGCACACGGATGCACACGTGCACGCCCACTCACATCCTTGCAGGAGCACCGAAACTCTCCACAACGATGCGACTGAGCCGCGCACCCGACTGGCGGTGGCAGAGCTTGGGCTTGCGCACAGTCAGCAGCCCCGTGGATGAAGTTCGGGCTGGCTTCGACAGGCCCCCATGCGGGGTAGTCTAGGGCGGTTTCAACACGCCGACGCAGTGGGGCGGCGCAGGATCAAGGGGTGTTGAGACCACCTCGGGCTACTCCTAACGGAGGGCCTGTCGAGGTCAGTCTGGACTACCTCCGGGGCTGTCCCTGAGCACCCACAAGCCTAACCAACTGGCGGTCTCCCTCCCTCGTGTCCACCTTGACCACCCTCCGCCGACCGACCTCCTCCGCCGACCGACCTCCTCCCCTCCCTGCCATCTACCACTGCGTGCAGTCCCTCCACGTTTCTTCCTCCCTCTCTGGCGACCAACCGCCGAACATGTGCGAATCCATCCTCCTTTCGTCCTCCCCCTCCTCCTCCCCCTCCTCCCCCTCCTTCTCTCTCCCTCCCTCCCTCCCTCCATGCCTCCTCCTCCTTCTTCTCCTCCTCCTCCTCTCAGCCCTGTAATGTCAGCCTGTGATAACAAGGGCCTGGGAAAAGAGGTGTCCAATATTCATTGCTGTTAAGACATGAGAGCTCAACACCAGCATCACTACTACCACCAGCATTATCATCGTCATGCTCATCATTTGCATACTCTCCACCACCATCGTCATCAACATTATCCTGCTCCTCCCTCCCTCTTTCTTCTCCCTCTCTCCCCTCGCTCCTCGACCTCCCATCATCCGCCCAATGAGGGCGCGCGTCCGAGCCCAAACATCAGACGTCACACTTTGGTTGCGGCGTGGAACCGGGGATTTTTCGACCTACCCACGGCGAGCCCGTTCAACCCGGACAGTTGTTGGTTGTCGCGGGTCCCGAACAATGTTGATTGCCCCGTAGTCTGGGACAGTTCTCCACTCCACAAAAGTGTTGAACAGCTGGCCGCAACAACGTGTTGTGAGTTTGGGACGAGGAAGGCACGGGTATCGCAGGCATTCCCAGCACAGAAATAACCATGGGCGAAGGAGGCGCCACCGACACGAAGAAGGCATGGGCGCTCCTTTTCGTGACGAAGACAGCATGAGCGTACACGACAACGAAGCGTTGCAAACATCCGCGTGCGATCTTCCCCGTCGCCACCGTCGCCCCCGCGGCGACCATGTGGACTCAACGTGCACAAGGGGGGAAGAGACAAAAGGATACGAAGGAGGAGGAGATGGAGGAGGATAGGAGAGACGAAGAGGAGGGCAAGGAGGAAAATGACAAGGAGAAGGAGAAAAAGGAAAAACAGAGGACGAGGAGGAGGGGGGTTGGGAATACCTGAGCCCCCCCCCTTCGGCGACCGAATGTTCTTGACGGACAAGGCGAGCTCAAGCTCCACCTGCGCGCCGCCACCCCAGGCTCCCGTCGCGCTCGGTGCGATACCCTCCCCGCTCCCCCTCCCCCTCCTTCACCCTCCTCCTCCTCCCCCTCTGCCCTCCCCCTCCTCTCCCCTCCTCTCCCCCCCTCCTCCTCCTTTTCCTCCCCCCCTCCTCCTCCTCCTTTTCCTCCTCCTCCTCCTCCACCTCCTCCTCCTCCTCCTCTTCCTCCTCCTCCTCCTCCTCCTCATTTTCCTCCTCCTCATTTTCCTCCTCCTCATATTCCTCCTCATCCTCTTCCTTTTCCTCCTTTTCCTCCTCCTCTCCTCGTTCAAGTAAAGGGAGGAAAGCGGCGGGGTCACTCAGCAGGGAGACATGTACAGACCGTAGACAGAGTAACTTGCGAACCACGTTGAACAAGGAATACGTTGTCTGAAACGCTGTAGACCTACTAATAGCATGTCTAGCATACGGTGTTGCAGATGCTGGCGGTGATGGTGCCCACGGCGCCACTGAAGTATACGCAATATCTGATGTATCGATGTATTAATGTACCGTTGTCCGTCACGCTGTAATGGTAAATAATCTTCTCCAGCTTTAGGCAGGCTTGTCTCGCCTCATTCCGTATGGCGCCAACCGGCTGGGTAGCTCAGCCGGTGGTCCTCGTAGCCCTGCTTGTGGCTCTCGTAGCTCAGGCGGTGGACCTGTAAGCTCTGCTTGTGGGTTTCTGCGGATGGAGCAACGGGGGGCGTCGCCCACCCGAGCCGACGGCCCAGCGGGATCTCAACACTTGGACGCTCAATTCAAGCACCTCATACTCCTAGTACTCTGCCGTACGTCCCCTCCGCCGTCCAGGTCTTCCGTGGGCCTTGGCGTTCGTCACGTAACCCTGGTAACACAGAGGCTGGCCCTGGTAGCTCAGCTGGGAGTCCCCGCGGTCCTGCGTGACGCTGCTGGTGGCTGTAGTGGGTCTGCTTGTTGCCCACGAAGCAGATCCAGTGCCTCCAGTAGCTGAGCTCGTAATCCTTGCAGATCTGCCTGTAGCTCTCGCAGCTCACCTGGCGGCCCTCGTGGTGCAGCTGGTGATCCTCGTCGCCCTGCTTGTAGGTCTCGTAGCTGAGCTCGCAGCCGTCGTGGCTCGGCTGGTGGTCCCCGCGGCCCTTCCGATGGCCCTCATATGGTTGGGCTCGCGGCCCTCGTAGTCCTGAAGGTGGCTCTCGTAGCTGCGCCTGCGGTCCACGCAGTCCAGCTTGTGGTACTCGAAGGACCGGAAGTGCTCCTGCTAGCTCTGCTGGTGGATGTAATCGCGTTTCTGCTGGTGGCTCTGGAGGCTGCAACGACCCTCGTAGCTTTACAGGTGGGACTCGTGGCTCCGACGGTCACTCTCGAAGCTCTGCTCGCGACCTTGGAAGCTGAGCTGGTGGCTCTGGTAGATCGCCCGGTGGTCCTCTTAGCCCTGCTCGCGGCTCTCGTAGCTCAGCTGATGGGTCTCGCTTTTGGCTCTCGAGACTCTTGTTGCACTCGAAATTCGGCGGACTGTTCTCGAATGTTTTTTGGGGTTCTCGTAATTCTGCTGGTCGTAGGAGCTCCGCTGGTCCTCGCTGCGGAGCTAGGATGCACTCCCCGCGCCGCGCACCTGGCCCAGAAGTAGTCGAGCGGCCCGCGCGTCCTCCCAGACGTCGGAGTCCACGAGGCGAGAGTCGGAGTCCTTGGCTGCCAAGTCGCGGCGTTCCACGCTCTGGGTGCCAACGCTGCGCGGGAGGGCGCGACGGTCACGCGCAGGTTGCTCGGCTTCCTCCTCGCCTCTCAGCCCCTGCAGCCCGCGCCGGCGCCGGCCCAGCTGGGAGGGCCGTCGCGGCCGCGGCAGGACCAACAGGTCCAGGCCGGGCGGGCGCGGGGGGCCAACCCCTGGCCGGCTGCTTCATCGGCCAACGGGGCACCCCCCGCCCCGCGCCCGCCGAGCTTCAACGGCCAACGGCGGAAGGCCCGCCGCGCCCCGACACTCTAGTTACCCCGGCCAACGGGGCGCGCTCAGTCCCGCGCTCGCCCTGCGCCACTCTGCTCGGAGACGGCGAGCGCTGGGGGGGTCGCGGTCCTAACACAAGCAACTCCGGGAAGGGCCTGGCCCGCGCTTCGAAGCGCTCCTCCGGCTGCCTCTCCGCCCGAGTTGCCCAGCTCGGCCCACCCCGGTGCGCCGGGGGCCGCGGCGGCGGCTGCTGCGACCGCGAACAGCGCGCCAATGGCTGGCTTGGCACGGCCGTCGACGCCGCTGACTTCCGCCGCGCTTCTCGGCCGCCGCCTTCGCGCCGCGGCCAGGATCGCCCACTCTGCCCTCCTACTGCGCAGGGCCGCTGGCCGCCCGGTCCAGTCGCGGCCTCTTGCGGGCAAGGGTTTCAGTCTGGGCCCCGTGGTCTGCTGCTCGCTTGTGCAGAACCTGCCCCGACTTGCACCTGCATGGAGGGGCCTGATGCATCTTGCCCTTTGCCATATGCTGCATTGCCATGTCCTCGACCGGGTCGTTGCCGCTCTCCTCGGGATCGCCCTCATCAGTGGGCACCTTGGCCTCGCCCTCAAAGTCGCGCTCGCACTCGGCATCTGACCCGCCGACCTCCTCTCCGCAGGCGCCCGTGGGCGTCGACGAGGACCGCCTTCTGCGTCGGCGTCTGCCAAGCCACCCGCCCCCCTGCTGAGCCCGCGCGCTCCGTGTCACCGCGCGAAGATCCGGCAGCGGTGGTCTCATTTTCGCCAGCGGGAATCACGTCATCGACGTCGACCAGGTCGTCGCTGGATGCATTGCCCAGCGTTTCAGTGGCGCCCCCGCAGCGGCCAGCGGGGCCAGGGCGTTCCTCGGCAGCGTTTCTCCGCGACTGACCCGCCCCCTCCATGGCGGCCTGGGCGGGCCCGCCGCGGCAGGGCGCGGCTCGCCGTCGCCCTCTGGCTCGCCCCCCCAAGGCAGCAGCTCGTGGGGCGGGGTCCACTCGCGCCGCATCCATCGCCGTAGCTCACTGTGCTCTCGGTTGCGCCGCAGCCGCGCAAGTGTCTCGCCCGCCAGGGGGCCACGGGCCTGGCCCATGAGGCACCGCGCGCGGCTCGGCTGCCCTGGCTTGCCGGGCCGCCACGCGCCCACGCAGAGCATCCTGGCCAGGCCGCGAACAGTCCGTCGCAGCCCACGCGCCCCTCGCACACAGAGCGGATACACCCGCGCCTGCACCAGCCGCGCCTGGGCGCATTGCATGCACCAGTCGAGCCAGTCGCCCTCGTCTTCGCTCTCTTCCAGCCCGACGCAGCGCATCCGCTTCTGGCTCCACTGTAGCAGCTGTTTCTTGGGGCGCTGCCACTCGGCACCCAGGGCATCGGCGCCGCCGTCGGCATCTCCGCCTGTTGCCGACGACTCACCTGGCGCAGGGACCTGCGCCCTCTCCGCTCGCGCGAGCTGCGCCATCGCCACCTCGTCTCCGCTGTCTTCCTCGTCGTTGAGCAGGCGGGGGCGAATGGCGAGGCCGCGGTCCAAGTCCAACACCTTAGGCACCTGGTGCGGCGCAGGGCCTGCGGCCACCCCTCTGCCGGGGGCTCTGCCGCCCTCGAGCGATCGCTGCCGCACGCGCGCGGGCCGGCTGCCGCGCCCGCTGGCGCGCCCCAGCAGACGCCGGCGCCCCCGTGCCAGTTTCGCCGCGCACTGGAGGGGAGGTCCGCGCTATCGGGGCAGTCGCGGACACCGCCAGGCCCAACCACCACGGCCCGCAGGGCCTGTCGCGCACGCCACCGAGAAGAAGTAGCGGCGCCCACCTCGGGCCCTGCAGCCGATTCGACTGGCAGCGGCCCCCCCCCTCCCTCTCGGCCAGCCCCCCGCGGGACAGCGCAAAGGGCGCCGGCGAGTTTCGCCCTGCCCGCCGCCCGAACCCGCGCAGGGCATCCAAGGTCAGGCCGCAAACCTAACGCGGGAACAATAACCCATGGAGCCCCCATCCTCGTCGAAGAGGCGCCCCCGCTGGCCGCTTGGATTTGCGGCGCTCGGCGCCCCTGGCCGCGCGCGCAGGCGCCCCCGGCGCCTGGCCAGCCCCGGGCGGGCGCCCCGCTAGCCCGCCGCGCAAGGCACCCCAGCCGGCCCCGCCCCGCCCGCCGTCTCAGCCTTCACAAGACAACCAAGGTTGCGCCGCAGTCTCGACGCAGGAGCCGCAGCCCCTGAAACCGCCGCCCCCATGCCGCGCTGCGCGCCCCCGCCCCTCATCTGGCGCGAGCCCTCATTCCGGCCCAGCGAGCTATCCACCCCGCTGGCGCCCTCGTCGTCGGGGTCGCCCCTCTGGTTGAATGCCGCGCGGAAGCAGTCGGCGGCCGCCAGGCCCGCGGGCTGAGCAAGGGGATGCCCTCCCCCCCCCCTCCCCCCCCGAAGCCAACAGTTGCCCCCCTGGGCGACGCAGGGGGCGCTCGCCCCCCCCCCCCCCCCCCTCGCCCTTCGCCCCTGCGGTTCGCGGCCGCCGCGGCCCGGCCGTCGCGGCTCTCCGCTTGCAGCGCGCCGCTCTTCACCAGCTGCCGCAATTGCGTTTGCCCCCAGCGGCGACGGGGGCGCGCCGCCCGCCGCGCCCAGCGCGGGATAACCGCGAGCTCGCCCCGAGACGGCCGCCCTTCGCCCGAGACGCGGCGCGGGCAGCCCCGAGCCTCCACGCGGTTCAAGGAGGGATGGGGCGCGCGCTCATCCGATCGCCTCCGTCGTCACCGACGAGCAAGTCGGTCTCGACCCCGTCCGCGATCAAGGAGTCGTCGCTGTCGAGAGCGATAATCTCCGGCACCGTCGGCCCCAGCATCTTGAAAAGGCCCCGCGCGGGTTCGCGGCGGATGGCCGCGAAGACCCATTCCAGGTCCCAGGCAGTCTGCGCCTCCACTGACCGCGCCTCCGCCGTGGCCGCGGCGACAGTCGGGCGCGCCCTGCCAGCTGCCCGCGCGGCGGCCCTGGCGGGCGGCGCCTGCCGACGGCGGCGCGGCGGCGCGGCCGCCCAGCGCGCCCGGGCACCAGCCGCGCCGAGGA